ACTGAATTGAATACGTGTGTAAGGTGAAGATGGTAACAGTCACTATCGTATTACGTTGTTGTTGTGAATCGTTGTCGGATTCCTTTTAATTGTGATGTGGATAATTGCATGTTTATCCAAACGGATCGTGAACGTGTTCGCGTGTCGAACCCGTTCCTCGCCAATATATACATTACTTATTGGCCGTGCATGATAGAGAACAAGCTGGACATCTGCTTGTTTCTCTGACTCATCATGCGACATCTACGACATGCCTGACATCAAAACACAAGTTCGAAATGACTTGGTTGCTGTGGTGCGAGACGGTCGCCTGACCGTCGTTCATAGAGTCAATATTGAATCCATTGGTTCGACCGCTTTCTTCCGTCTACGTTAGAGTATCGGCTTGTTTTGAAACTGGGTTCTAGGACCAGTAAGGATGATGGAGCCATCAGACAATATCATTTTTTCGCTTGGCTGCAAGAATTCATCATGCACTCGCCGCAATTTGTTGAGAGATCGTGTGATCAAACGAGTTTCGTGTCAACGCACCATGATATTGGCTGACCTTGAAACGTAGACTCGCGGTGCTGGGTCCATTTCGATTGTGGTTTGACTTGGGACTCGTGGTTCCTTTCGCTGTCTCCTGAACCCATCCCAGTAAACGGACCCCAGCGACTTGCATATTGTTCGAGGTGAAGCAGTAGATGGTTTTTAATTTTAAAATAGTACAAAACAACATGTTGAAAGCCATGGAAAATTGCTCCGTTTCTTCGTATCTCCATTGCTCATTTGGTCTATCAGCTCGAAAACACACCTCTTTTTTATTTTAAATGTTTTATTTGCATCATCACTCGTTGCTGATGATGATGAGGCGCAAATGAAACGAACGAAACCCATCAAAATAGTTATTGTCGAGTCACACCAACATGCTCTCGAACACTATCACTCAGCGATACGAAAGTTCAAGATATTTGAGCCCTGGTCCATGATTCATTTTGACGCTCATCCCGACTTGGCCTGTCCGACTTCTCAATGTCCAGCAGTCTCCTGTTTTACTCCGAGGAAAGAAATGACGCTCACTCGAAAGAATCTTTATGAACTTCTTGATCTTTCCGAGACTGGCATTGCAGAGTGGATCATTCCTTTGGTGGTCGCAGCCGAATTGAAGACTATAAATTGGGTGAAACCAGGATTCTCATCTCAGTTTCCTTTGGGACGTCATTTGTACAACGTTGGTGCCTACCATGATGATGATAATGATGCTAATGATTCAGCTCCATCCGTGCAATCATTTCTCGATCTGCCCGACACTGCAATCATCAAAACAGATTTTGATATGCCATACTATCAAGACGATGGAGCGGTTGTGGAATCAGCATCCGACCTTTTGCTTGCACAGCAACTGGAATTGGTAGTGACCGAGCTTCCAACGACGCAAACCTTATTAAATCATCGTGATGGTGATGATGATGATAATACGAAGAAATGGGCGTTGGATATTTGTTTGGATTACTTTGCCTGCCAAAATCCGTTTCTGAGTGATATTGACAAGGTCAATCCAGCTGTAACCAAAGCCCTGCTCCAAGTCATGAGCGCAGCAGAGGTCGGTCCTGGCAGAACGAGCGCTGACTTGAAACAATTGGTAGCCGCAATGCTGGAAGATGGGAATTCCATTCCCAACATGGATCCATTGGCAAAATACTTTGATTCTGCAGAAACAGCAAATGACCATTTGACTGCTCTGAAACGATTCACCGACCAGGATTCGTCCTTGAGAAGCTTGGTGCTGAAAGCCATTCCGAACTGGGACATGCCGCACGACGTACCCAGCGCCGATAAGGAAAAGATCCTCGAAGCAATCCGTGACATGGAGGAGGCATTATCGAAGGAGGACTGCACCTCCCCACCGTTCCTCATTACGATTTGTCGATCGTCGGACGACGAATTCACGCCACCTTGGCTCGTGGAATTCATTCAGGTGCAAGTTCTAGAGTTACTAGATCGGATCTTTTATATCCGTTCAACAGGAGAGCCTCAATCACTTTGCATCGTCAAGGATTATGGAGAATGGGAAGGATCTACAATATGACAAATGCAAGATGTAAAAACGGAGGCAGCAATGAAGTAGAACTACTTGTATAGCGTGTGCGTTTTAGAGTTGATCTGTACAACGTAATGATAGTGTGGAACCAATCGCTGATTGGACCATTTGGTAAATGTCATACTCACGCAATAGTTGCATCGCTCTAGTTGTCAGTAGTAGCAGTAGTAGTATGTCCACGTTCCTCGTTCAATGCTTGCAGTTCCAGTGGCGGAATGCGTCGCAAGACCACCAATCCCAAATGGACGGAACATTTGGCCACCAACATGTTGCCATCGGCATACAAGATATTCCAGACACTTGTATTGTCCTTGCCGTCAAACTGATAGGTCAGTTGGGCCTCGTTAGGATGCCATTGAAGGTCATGGCCCTGCAACGTAAAGGTGGGAAAGTTGGGCAGGGGCAACAACTTGACTTCCATCCCCATTGTTAGATTTGTAAAATCAAAATGAATGATTTCGCGCATGGGAAGATAGTATCCACGAAATAACCTTTTACCAATTAGAGGAATCTCTGCAATGGAGGAACTGAACACAAATTCAAAAGATCCTTGCAAATCTCGCTGGCAGTCATAGGATTGGTTCGGGCGAAGATCGTGCTCGTTCGACAAATTCTCAAGCAAATCAATCATTTGATCGGGATCGACGTTGCGATCTAATATGCATTGATCGAGAGCTTCTTGGACAAGTGGACTCTTGAAGTAGTGCTGAGTAGTAGAACTCGTCTTCTTTGAAGGAAGGTTGGCTTTGGCATAAGACAAACTTCCAGCGTTTGAAGGGAGGAGGAAGGCCATGGAAGATCTGATGGGAAATGATATCCATGATAGGATGAACAAGGCAAAGTAGTGTGCCATCGCTGTCGTTTTCTATAAGTTTCTTGAATAAAGGCTGGATGAAGGAAGGCTTTTGGTAGCAAGCTGCTCCGAACGGCTGTTTCCAAAGAAAGGGTTCTTGACGGATAAATATAACGTCGTTGTGATGTTGATGGGGTTCGGTTTCGAAAATTCATTTCGTGCATTCGTGACTCGTGACTCTTCACTCGTGAATGGAGTCCCTCGACTACACGTGGCAAAACGACAATATTTTATTGAAATCATTTTTCATTGCACCGTACCAGCTACCTTCCTCGAGCTGCCACCGGTTGCCGATTTGTTGCATCAGCTACCAAGTGCCACTGTCATACAAAGAAATTAATTCCTCGTCCATCATTCGAGGCTGCGAATAAAATCCCAGCATCTTTCTGATTCCGGCTGACACAATATCACAAACATGATACGGCGGCATTATGCATCATCCAAGCTGATACCAACAATTTTATGGGTACTTTTTGCGCTTTCCAACATTCAGCTTTCAATATCCTCGTCTTCTTCAATATCACCATTGACGAGCATAATATCACCTAAAAATGAGCCAGCTGAAAAACCCAAGAAGCGAACGATCGTTTCTGGGTTTGGATCACATCATACCAAGCATTCCATATTTGCTTCACCAACCCGCGGCAGCACGGAAAGCAAGACGATAAGTACCAAAAAGGCAAACAAAAGGCAACAAGGCAAAGAATCGTCAATAATAGGGGCGGACTTTGATTTCAGCAGCAATTCACTGCTGGTCTACAAACAAGACAAGGAAAATTCCAGTGAGAAGGATGGTGATGTGGATCACCACCATCCTAATGCTGCAGACTCGATTGTGTGGTTGATGGATCCCCACACAAATCAAAGAGTATGCATATGGGTCAATGAAGAAGGCGATTGGATGGCCGAGCTAGTAGAGGAGGGTAATAGCAGTATCCCAATGACGATTCCGCCACAGCCAAAACCACCAACGTCGTCGTCCGAAATGAATGGTTGGGTACCAGTCGAAGGAATATATGGATTCTACAAGGTTCCTACAGGAATCTTACTGGTCTTAATTGCCAAGACCCGGAATGTCTTTGATGCACCACCCTTGCGAACCATTCAAAATTGGTGGAAGATTGACAAGGTGCAGCAATTGGAGGTGGTCCACTTGTCCAATTCCAAAGCACAACAAGAACTGTCACCAATTCAAATCAAGGAAGAAATACGGCAATTGCGATTATTGCGAAAGGCCTGGAAGCAACACGATTTCTATTGTTGTCAGAATAATAAGAGTATGGTGAATGACAATGAGGAGGAGCGAAGAGGAGACCAAGAGGACTCTTTGGCAATCTGTTCCAAGAATCCACCCATTGTTCGCGACATGACCAAATCCTTGCAGTCGTCCTTTTTGGTACACCACCAACAACAGCAGCAGCAACGAGAAAGAAAGCGATCACGAAAATCCGATTCCGAGCCGCATTGGTGGACGGCCAATCCCGACCCTCGCTTCTTTTGGAATCAATTGGCGGTCGAACCGATATTGGCCAAATGCAATTTTGAAGAATTCGAGCAAGATCCAAGTCGGATGGATCCTTGCATTTACTTTTTATTGGACCATACCATTCCTGTGACTTCGGCCTTTGTGGGAATTCAATCCGATATTACCTGTGGCAGTACAAACGACGATGACAACGACGAGGAAAAATCGAAGTCTCCACGCTGCACATATACCCAACTTTTGATCAGTCGGCGGAGTCGCTTTCGAGCTGGGACACGCTTCACCCGACGAGGCGCCGATTCCAATGGTGCTGTGGCAAACTATGTGGAAACAGAGCAAGTACTTCTCTTAAAGTCCCAACAAAATGAAACTGACGGCACCACTATTGACAGGATTGCCTCTCATGTCCAAACCCGTGGCAGTATCCCAATTCGATGGTCCAGTCCAGCCGATGTCAAGACGTATCGTCCCAAAGTCCACATTGGAACCGATCCATTGGCCCAAGCCCGGGCCTTAAGATGGCACTTGTTGGAACAACAGGCCCATTATGTGCTACAGGAAGGAAGAAAGGGCAAACCCAACAACAGCAACAGCAACAGCAACAACCACCAAAAAGCAAAAGATGAGAATAATGAGTCCGAAATGGTCTTTGTGAATCTGGTCGACAAACAGAGCGACCAAGGTCGATTGGGAAAAGCCTTTGATGAAGTCCTTCAAGCAGTGTTGGAAATCCATAGTAGTAGTAGTAGTAGTAGCAGCAGCACCAATAGTAGTAGTACTACTGCTGCAAAAGGAATCAAGGCCCCCTTGGTCAAGCACGTTTGGTATGACTTTCATGCCGAAGTCAAGAATGGAAAATGGGATCGTTTGAGTATTCTGCTGAAAGATTTGGAACCATATTTGATGGCGCACAACTACTTCGTGGTTTCTACTACCGGCACTACTACAAAAAATGACAAGGACAAGAAGAAGAACAACAAGAAGAAGAATACAAATATTGGATACCAAATTGAGTCCAAACAAACTTCCGTCGTCCGGACCAACTGCATGGATTGTTTGGATCGAACCAATGTGGTCCAGAGCATCTTGGGACGCTACGTCTTGTTTGATCAGTTACTGGGAGCCAACAATAACACGCAAACGAAAAAAGAAAAGAAGCAGCTTCAAAAGCAATTTCGAAAATCCAAACAATTGTCCTTGCCCTGGCCCCAATCCGAAATAAACCATCGTGCCTTGTGGGCTGACAATGCCGATGAGATTAGTCGCTTGTACGCTGGGACAAATGCCTTGAAACGTGACTTTACAAGAACTGGCCAACGGACCAAACTGGGAGCCTTGGACGATGGTATGAATTCGCTGCAGCGATACTATTTGAATAATTTCATGGATGCCGACCGACAAGAAGGAATGGATCTCATGGTGGGATATGCTAGTTTTACTACGAATGGAGAATCATCGTCAAGCCACAAGGATAGTGGTGCAGACAACGACGACGACCCAGACAAGGAAGAAGGCAACATTTTTGCGACGCGTCGGTCCTTTTTGGGTGGTCTATTTCAGCCACATCCATCTCTGTTGCCAGGTACTATTGGTGGTGAGACAGGAGATGATAATGTTGACCACGACCAACAAGAAGAAGAAGATGACGAACAGGATGCTTTGGACTTGCGGTGGGTTCCAGGAGACTTGCAAGAACACTTGAGAAGTCGTGCCAAGTCCGAGAGGACTTCCACCACAACCACCACCACAGCTGGTACCAAACTGAAGTTTGGCTTTTCATCGACCCGCGCCTTGAAAGCCATGGACGATCGTTCTACTTCGGACCTTCCTTGGTGGTCTTTGGTGGAGGATGCTGAGGAGGCTTCTACTACTACTGAATCAAAATCATCGTCTTCTACTGTTGCTACAACAAATACCGATTCCAATGATTCCAACAACAACAGCTGGCTCATGGTCGAGAAATTGGCACCCCACCAACGACATCCCACCGTGACGCGGACCAATGTCTTGAGCATTTTGTTCATTGGCTTGAAAGCTCCCATGACCGTGGCAATGGGAATGTCCTTGTTCTTGGGTGTGCTATATTTCCAAGATATTTGGAGGCACGATTGGAATCTGGTGGAGCGTATGGCAACGAAAATGATCGATTCTTGGAGCAATAGACAAGACCAAGATGGGGACGAATACAGTGTCGAAAATGACGACGACGAGGAGGAGTATGACTGGAGCGATGATGAAGATGATCAAGAGGAAGAAGAGGAGTAGAGACACAAATTTTGCTACTCCATTCCGCCAGTGGACGGAGACGGTTTGTATACTAGAGCATATGATACTGCTGTTATCATTCTCTACCTGGTACCAGTACCAGGTACCGTATGCGTTGATCCATCTCACTTTTCCAAATCGGAGTGAACTTTCAATTCTGGTCGTTGGAGTCGTCGAATATGTCGTATGACTGACGATGACGGACGGCTCATTCACTCCTGTCAAAAAATCCAATGAGTTCCGAGTCGTCAGAATCCAACGGACACATCAACGCATAGTACTTATGGCCATCGATTCGTGCTTACTTAAGAAGTTTTCAAATGCTGGGAATAATTAGAAGTTTGCTTGCACCGAAGCGAGTCTTACACATGAATCTACCGTAGAAAGCGTACCAAAAGGTGCACCGAGCCAGTCCAAGTTTCTGACTCGCAAGACAATAACTGACATTGGAACTCAACGACTCCATGGAAACCAATTCCAGCACCCAGAACGACTCCCCGCTGCATACGAATATCCAACTGAAACAACGCACCACTGCTACTGGGGTTTGCATTGCTCGTTCCCCATACGATTCACATTCCTCTTGGCTGCATTCAGTACTTGAATTGACGACCATTCGCCGTCAAATCGCATTGCCAGTTTTTCAGTTTCTGTTTCTGTTTCTGTTTTGCTTCGTCGGTGTAAGCAGTTGATTGTTGCTTTGCTGGAAAACCTCAACGCAGATATCAATCATAGCACATTGCATTGCAGATTGCAGATTGCATACTCCTTGCATATTCCTTGCATACTCCTTGTGTGAACAACTCTGTTTCACGTCACTCTCAACTTTCAAACAATAGCAGCAATAACAGCAATTCATCACCAAAACCATGACGTCGCTGCTGAGAAGAAACAAGACCAATACCAGTACGAGTACAACGAAAAGTCCAACGCCGTATCCTCAAAAGCGAGACGACATACCTTTGGAAATCATCAGCGATGAAGGTTCGGTAGAGGACAAACCCATGGACGAACGCATTGAAGATCGTCGTACCGAAATGATGCTCTGCAATGTAACAGAAGACATTGGCGCTAACCTGGCTGAGAACAATCTCTGCGATTATACCATGACCACTGTCGGACAAATATGTGGCATGACTCCTAAAAGTAAGGAGGAAAAGCCCACGGGTCCTCGCAGCATTCCGGACGCTGCCTTTAGAACGGGAGCGGACGAACACACGTCCATTGAAGTGGAATATGTGGAACCTCGTCTAAGAAAACCCATTTCCAAAAAGGTGGCGCAAGAAACTGCTCCACCACTATCCGAAGACACTACCAAGAGGAAGTTGCTACTCCAAAACTTGAACGACAAAGCTCGAGAAGACTACAAGAAGGAAGTCCGAACCTCACCTCAAGAGTTCCCGGACGACGAGTATGCCCAAAATACTATCTACAACTCGTTCTCTCAACCAGAAAAGCGCAAGTTCATCAAGCTCATTTCGCTCAATGTCACTCCTACCGACGCTGCCAATCAAGTCTTGCGCGAGCGACGAGAAGGTCTCGAAGCATCTCAAGAACAAGCCAAGTCTCCTTCCAAAAAGAAGGGTCTCGCAAAATTCTTTTCCAAAAAGAAGGTGACCGACGAGCCGGAAGAAGAACCAGAAATTGAAAAGCCGGAATTTTCCAATTCGGGCATCAACTATTACGATGCAGTCCGCAAGGTGGACGCAGAAGGCTACAAGGAACCAGTCGAAGAAGATCCTGCAGCGGACGCCAAGAAAACCAAGAAGAAGAAATCGATTCTTCCGTCGTTCAAAAAGAAGCGATTTGTCAAAGTCTCGGGTGTGGAGCCCAAGAACGCCAAGTCAACTCCTGCTGCTCCTGCTGCCAGTGACAATAACAATCGTGCTCTGGCGGCTGGAGCTGCCGTGGCGGGTGCTGCCGCGGTGGGAGCGGCTGCCGTGGCCTCGGGCAGCAACGATGAGGAGGAAGATTCGGAAGAAAACCCTGAAGACGAAAACTGGATGCCACCACCACCTCCTCCAGGCGCTACTTCCAGAGGAGTCATGACGGAAGAAGAAGTCCTTCGGGATTTGGCCATGGCGGATACGGGAGACATTCGCGAAGAAAAGAAACTCGAAGATGACATGGCAGCACAATTGCTCGGCCCCATGTCTGCTAACCAAGCCAACAAGACTCAAATCAATGATGAGAATCAAGAACTGGACGACATTGATACCTACCTCAAGTCGACTGAATCAAGCTATGGAGGTGTCAGTTTGAATCCTGGCAATGTGCCCGATCACATGACGGTTGGTAGTTACAAGACTGCGGCTACCAATGCCACAACTTCGACTCGTGCCAGACGACCAGGTCAAGCCCAAAAGCGCATGCAGCAACAAAAGGCTGCTGAAATCCAACGCACAAGATCAGGCAATCAAGTTCGTGGTTGGCAAGAAACGATGCAAAAGGCAGCTGCCGAAAACAATCGTACTTGGGATCCGCAACGAGGATGGGTGGATTATGGTGATCCAAATGCTCCTCCTATTCCACACTATACTACCGCGGATGAGCTATCAACACCGCCACCAGCAGCAGCAGCAGCAGCAGCAGCACAAGTGGACCACCGTGGTCGTGGAATGGCGGCTCCTACCGGTCAAGATCCACAAGGATGGGCTGAGACCATGAAGGCGGCCAGCGCTCGATTGCTTCAAGCAGGAAAGCGCTGGGATCCGGATCTCGGCTGGGTCAGTACTGGAAGTCCCGATGGCAAGGCAGTTCCACGTCAAGACGATGGTAATGTCAATACCCAAGATGCGTCAGATACTGCTGACTTTGGTGGTACTGGACTCTTGGAGGGAGAAGGGCAAGACGAAAAGTTGATGATTTACGAAGACGAGAATTCAGAATCGGAATCTAACAAGATGAGGGCTCCTTCTCCTCTGGTGCAAGTCAAGAAGGAAAAGGTGGACGACGAGGATGCGGAATATTTTAAGTCACCGCGTGGTGGTGGTCCAGTGGACCTGGACGATGAAGTGGAAGACGACAAACAAGAACAAGCTCCAAAGTCCACCAAGGGAATCCCAAAATTGAAAGGACCCAAACGAGATACGTCGCCTGTCCGAGGACGACGCAGTGCGGGTAATACTCCTGAGGGGAATGAAGAAGATAATCGCAAGTCTTCGGAATGGAAGACCTTTTTGGCTAGAAAGCAAGCGGCGGAAGCAGACCGCCAAGATCAAGACAAGCAATCGGAAGTAGCATCGGAAGCCAGCACGGCAGCTATGCAAGGACCAAATACTTTTATGGGGAGGCTGCAAGCGTGTGCGGCCCCAATCCTCCCTACCAATAGGGCAATGAACGGGACCTCCCCGCAGAGTGGTTCGCGACTAGCCGCCCTCTGCGGTCGACCCGATATGATTCATGAGGAAATTGATGGAGAATCCATTACCACCGAGAACACTCCCAAGGAAGTTCGAGATCGATCGAGGTCGAGGACGCGCTCGAGCAAGAGCGACGTGAGTAGCGTCATTTCCGATGAAATGAGTGGTTCGAAGGCTGCGTTTTTGGAATCCATGGCCATGAAAGCAGTGGTTTCGAGCAAGGGTAAGAGAAGGTCTCCTGGTTCGGATGCTGGAAGTTCTGCTTCGTATGGTCAACGAAGTTCTGCTTCGTATGGTCAACGGAGTTCTTTGGGCGCTTCTCCAAGTTCAACTGCTGGAAGTGCGTCATCCACCAAGTGGCAACAGTTCTTGGAAAAGAAGAAGGCTGAGAATGGTGGTGGAAGTGTGGTAGGTGCCAGATCACAAGCCAGTACTTCCATTTCACGAGCTGCCGAAAAGTATGCCGCCAAGAAGGCGGAAGAGATGATGGAAACCCAAAACTCGACTCCTACTGGTGGTTCTTCCTTCAAGCCCCGTCCGATGGAAGAATCTACTGGTGCCTTCCCCAAGCCAGCTCGAATTGTCACTTCTCCAGAAACCCCAAGCAGCGAGCGTCCGCAAATGCTTCCGTTTGATACACCCAAGAGTTCTTCCCAAATTGCAGCCGAAGAAGCCAGAGCGGCCCGACTGTCCGTAACGACTTCGACTCCCACGAGATCACGAGCTCATTTGCCTTTTGAGCCGCAAAAGAGCGAAGCGCAAAAGGCTATCGAAGAAGCCAAGGCAAAGCGAATGAATTCCTTGAGGGCCAGTTTGAGTTCACCACGAGACTAGATCTGGATTTTGCTTTCCTTCACTTGTGTTTGTGTGTAGCCGTTGTATAAGTACCATAGTTCTTTTTTATATGATGTTATTTATTTACATACATTGAATATGGTGCCATCATGCTAACCTTTCTCTGTACCGATACGGTACCTGTGTGCCGGTACCGACCAGATACCTGGTACCTACAACATGAAGACTTCGATGCGATGGTTGCTGATCGAAAAAAGTTGACTACATCGACTGTCGGTGCACCGCACTTTTTGCATGCATTGCACAAGCGGAAGATGGAGGTAAATGACCATCAACGTTATTAAGGTAACAAGGGCGAAGAAGTGTTGAAAAATTGATGGTTGCCCCAGGCCTTCAGGTAATGCCTAATAGAGTGTGAAGCTAATGTTCGATTTTGCGGGAAGGAACTCTGCCCGAAGGCCTCATCGAAATTGATTGTTTTGCCTTTGGTTTGTGCGAAACTTTGCCGGCAATCAACATTTGTAACAACACAATGAAATCCATTGGACAAAGGGCATTTTTATGATGTCACCCTCCTGACGAAAGTAGAGTTTGAAAAAGGTAATTTGCTTGGGAGCTTTCCATTCTTGCCATTCCTAACAAAGGATCAAGATCCCCTCTTCTGTGACTACGATTTGCGAAACTGCCTGGGATAGCTGCATCGCCTTGGTGGAAGCCGTTTCTGTCCGCAAAGCAACATCCATCAAACATCCATCAAAGATAGTCCCGCAGCGGGACTCGGTCGTTGTTTCACTCTCCAAACTGTGGGCCTGCCAGGCTCATTGGAGTGTATTTCCAAAGGTACTTGCGATCAGTGCTTTAGCTTGGGAACAGTGATGGTGCCACTGAATGCAATATCGACAAAGGTTGGAGATGAAGCCTTGTCCAAAGCAAAAACAAAGGGAATGTGCACTATTATTGCACCACCGCTTCGTAATTCAGTTCTTGGGAATCATTCCAAGAGATTCATCTTGAGACGATTGACTTTTAAGATTTCATTTACCAAATATACATTTTTGAAATGTATGCCGTGCCCATATTATCCTAGCTTCCTTTCAGAACAATGTGTTGCTACAGTAGCAAAACGAAAAGGTGTGGATACCGTTTCTCAGACCCTCCTGATTCAGAGTACAACTTCTAAAATACGATACGTTTATTCGTATCGACCTGTATAATAGCACAGGTACTAGAAATCATGGCATCCTTTGAATGCGATCAGAAATTCACAATAAGGTACTGTAGTGTTCTCGTACAGAAGTATTCAAAAAAATATAAAAAGGTATTATACAAATTATAATCGAATAGAAATAGTCCCAAGAAAAGAACAGCAATCTCCAACCAAGTCATGGCTGGCTACTGCATCTCAGACTTATATATATATTCAAAGAGCCCCAAAATGACATCTAAGAGCGCTCTCCGCGAATACGGCGAGCCAATTGAATATCCTTGGGCATGATGGTAACACGCTTGGCGTGAATGGCACACAAGTTGGTATCTTCAAAGAGCCCCACCAAATAAGCTTCGGCGGCTTCTTGAAGGGCAAGAACGGCAGATCCTTGGAATCGAAGATCAGACTTGAAATCTTGAGCAATCTCACGGACCAAACGTTGGAAAGGCAACTTGCGGATCAACAAGTCGGTAGACTTTTGGTACCGACGAATCTCACGAAGGGCGACAGTACCAGGACGGTAACGGTGGGGCTTCTTGACTCCTCCGGTGGCTGGAGCAGACTTACGAGCAGCCTTGGTGGCAAGTTGCTTACGGGGAGCCTTTCCTCCGGTGGATTTACGTGCGGTTTGCTTGGTACGGGCCATGTTGACTTGTTTTTTATAATATATTATGTTCAACGAACGATGGAAGCTTCGTGCGGTGAAAGAACTTATTGTGTCCCGTTCCATGAAATTTGGGATTGCTGCTAAACCAATCCGCGTAGGTTGGTTTTGTACTGCCGTAGAAATGTACCAGGCGTTTCTGTTGAATCTGCGGCGCGTGGTCAGGCGGAAGGACTGCGCCGCGTTTTGTGGGAATGCTCATGTTTCGATACCGACCAACGACCTACAGTACGTACAGTGCTCAGAAAATAGTACTGGATTAGCTGTTTTAAATTCTCTGAAACACTGATGATTTTCGATTTTGCCAGTTTTATGGACAAGCAAGTGCGAAAGATGGAGGTCATTGAGTACCATTTTAATGACGACTTCGAAGGGGAAGTACCAATTGATGTTCATGAACTGATTGTCAATCCATCGGTTCAGGCTTTGCCGGATAAGTTGTGCCAAGATTGCGTGTCGTTGCGGGAAGTAACTCACCATTGGGCATCACGCTTTTGAGGAGTGCATCAGCTTGTTGGAAATCAAAATTCCCAGCACGGTAAATCGCATTGGAGATGATGTATTTGCGGGTTGCGAACTTCTGTGGAACGTGGAGTTCGAGACATCGCTGTCATCGTCACCGTCGTTGCCTCGCCATGAGCTATATCTTGGTGCTGCTGCTTTCAGATTATGTTATTCACTTCGAAGACTTCAGATCCCCTCGTCCGTGTTCGAGATTCACAAATTTGCTTTTCAAAGTTCCGTTTTGGTAGAAACAATTCTATCAACCACGTCCATCACGCGCATTCCACAGGGTGCGTTCGCTCTTTGTCGCTGTCTTCAAACTGTGAGCTTGCCAAGCTCATTGGAGGACATTTGCCACACAGGTTTCTATTACTGTTTTTCTTTGGTCACAGTGATTGTGCCGTTGGATGCAAAACCGATCGAGATTGGTGAAGCATCCTTCTGTGCCTGTAGGGCTCTTGTAAACCTTGTCCTTCCGAAAGGGTCCAAAGCCGTATCAGACAGTTTCAAGGGGTGTACATTATTGCATGATCGCTTCGGTGAGGTAGCAGAGACTATTGTCGCCGGTTTGGTACACCGCTTTGACAATTTTCCTATCCACAAAATGTGCTACGACCATTCCTCCATCACTGCCCTGGAGCTTCGCCGCTGCCTAGAGGACCACGACGACATAAAGGAAGAATCATTGTTTGCGGATGACTTCAGAATGAGTCCATTCCACATTCTATTTTCGACTGTCGAGCCAAGAGGAGATATGCTCGAAGTCCTTCTTAAAAAGTTTCCATACCATGTGCTCGGCTGGAAAGACGCCGATGGCAAGCTGGCAATGGATTATTTGGTGAGCAACTGGACTTACCAAAACAAGATATTGCTACAGATGGCCCTGCAGAGCTGGATATTTGGTCGATTGGAGCGTTGGTGTGACCAGTCTTGGAGAACTACCATGATTCCCCTTGTGAATGCGCTTCTAGCTGAAGGCCACTACAGAAAGCTACTACACAAGTCGGAGGAATACAGCGTTCCCTGCGATTTGCTCCATCATGACAAGAGTATGAAAATTTGGAGGCCACGTCAATCTTGGAAATGGCCTTGTGGAAAGGGCAAATGAAGCGTGGATGGCGAGATGATAATACCAAACGGCAGGCTCTAGACCGAGGAGAATGTCGGTGTGTCTATGGATCAGACGTTGTGATTCCGAATGTAGTAGAGTTCTTGGGATTCAGCCCAAGAGCTTCTTCTCCAGAGGATTGACTTTGCTAGGTTTCGTTGATAGTAATCTACTAACTAAGTTCTGTGAAATGCAAGAACTGTCACTTGGAAACTACTACAATATTGCTTAGTGCAAATAGAGGTACTTTGATGGAATACTAATTGTGCATTCACAAATGATTTGCACGTGGCCTAGGTAGTATCTCCATTCTTTTATATATGCGTTGTGAACGTATTGGCTGACTATTGCATATTTACAAGGCTATATCAACAAATATTAGTTTTAAAGTCTTTCCTATTCAGTATGAGTATACGGTGTATTGAATATACCGTATGTGAGCAGAGTATGAGAGAGTGGTCCAAATTCTTTACTTTCATACAGTACCTGGTATTCAGAACTCAAAATAACTCCGTTTGGCTCCAAACCTGGCAAATTTGTCTTTTATTGCTCGTGAAATTTAGAACGCGATTTGTCCTGACCAATCAAAGATACGTATTCTGACTGGTCGGCTTTTAGAATTTCACTTTAGACTGAAGTAACGGTTGTTTCATTCATAATCAACCTTTGTACACGGTATTTCTACGGATGAATAGGATGTGTCGCTCGACACACATGATGTGGAAGATAGTATTTAGTCGTTGCCGGGCTTGCAGGTGTACTTCACTAATTATGGTATCGGGACGGTTTCGTCCCGCCATTCAGGTTCAAAGATTGTTGTGACTGAACATCATGCCTTATATGCTGAGGAAGTGATCGAGACGGTTGCAATGCACCTTCCGGTTTCATAACTTTTGAATTCAACCATCACCTGTACAAGGCAAGGATGAAAGTGTTGCAGCACCTTATCCTATTATTTAGCAATTCATTTGCGGTGGCCAAACTTGGAGCAAGTCTTCATCATGATGATCGACGAGAGCTGTATCCCATCCTTCGGTTTTATGGGTCAAGCCCCAGCCAACTGCTTGGTAGATGCGAGGGAGACTGCGACAAGGATTTAGACTGGTGCGAAGTTATCTTGCAACATGTATGATGGTCGTGTCAAATTCAAAGACTAACTTTTCCATTTTCTGAATTCCATTCAGCATTTCGGCCGACCTGGTTTGTTTTCAGAGGGGTGCGAACGACGTTGTTCCGGGTTGTTCCGGGGGCCAGTCTGATGTTTCACTGTCTGACTACTGTGTACTTCGAACTGATTTGAATGCACCACCTTCCACTCCAGCACCAATCCCAGCGCCGACACCATATATCACTCCAAGAGCAGGCATCCCCATCAAGTATACTACCAACTTTCCTCTTGGACTATGCGAAGGTATGCATCTGAGATGGACGATTTTGTGTGACGAACTAGACTAGGAACCAACCTTTTTTGCTTTTTATTCCCTTTTGATTTCAGGGGATTGTGATAGCAACTTTGATTGTGCTGGTGACTTGGTCTGCTTTCAACGAGATGAATTCAAGCCTGTTCCCGGTGGTTGTATCGGTGGCGAAAACGATGGCAGCCGAACAGATTACTGTGTACCTCCAAACATTGGCGACCTTACTCCTACATTGCCTCCAACACCACCACCAGTTCCTAGTCCAACACCCGACTTGCCGATCAAATGGAGTACCAACTTTCCGTTGACACGTTGCCAAGGTAAGATCGCTGTGTTTTTCTCTTGAATATCTTCTTTGTGTGTTGGCTGACCCATCCTTGCTTCCGACTTTCGATTGGAACAGGAGATTGCGATTCAGATTTAGATTGTATTGGTGATCTAGTATGCTTCCAGAGGGATGGATACGAAGCAGTTCCAGGGTGCAGTGGCGGAGAATCAGACAGAAGTCGGGTCGACTATTGTGTTTTGCCAAATTATAACGATCAGCCCACCCCAACAATGCCACCGACACCTCCACCGACCCTATCACCAACTCCTCCGCCGACCCTACCACCAGTTCCTATTACTACACCGACAGTAGCCCCAGTGCCGACCCCAACGCCTCCTCCTACATTGGCTCCTGTTCCGAACCCAACACCGCCACCAACGATAGCTGTACTTACACAAAAGCCGAGCCGTCCACCGACCGTGGCCCCAATCACAAATCCGACACTAATCCCTGTTCCTATACCAACCGCTGCCCCTATTCCTGGTCCTACACCGCCACCGACGACAGCTCCGATCCCCAACCCGACTCCGGATCCGACCCCGCCACCTACAGTTGCTCCTGTTTCCGATCCGACTCCCAATCCTACAGTTGCTACACCGCCACCAACACTGGTAACCCCACCACCGACTGCAGCTTTGACTCCGCCGCCGACTCCACCACCAACATCACTTGTTCCAATCCAATGGAGTACAGTTTTTCCACTTCGACTATGTCAAGGAGATTGTAAGACCCGCTTTCTAGCTCTGGCATTTGCTTTCATTGCCAACCATTAACCTCTCTTTGTTATTCGATTTTTATTTTCGAACCTTAGGTGACTCGGATTCGGACTGCGAAGGAACTCTAGTCTGTTTCCAAAGGGACGCAGGAGCGGCTGTTCCTGGCTGTTCAGGCGGCGAAACTGATGATTCACGGGTTGACTATTGTGTTGTTGACAAAGACCGAATGGGGCCGCTACCAACTCCTCCGCCAGTGTCTGGCCCTGGTGTCGACAAGCCGATTAAATGGAGTACCAACTTTCCGCTGGGCGAATGCGAAGGAGGTACGTATCTTGTTCATCAGCTTACTATGCAAATTATTCTCCGTGGCAAGCTGACACTTTGAAATCTCTGAATTAGATTGCGATTACAATGAAGACTGTGGTTTCGGACTGTTCTGTTGGCAAAGGTCAAGCGGAGAGAGCATTCCCGGTTGCAGCGGAACCGACACTTCATCCGTGGATTATTGCATACCCAAGTCAAAGGCACCGGGAAAGAAGATCAAGTTGTTTTGGGACAACTATTTTTGGCAAGAGTCCTATGTGGAAAGGTTTTGGTGTATGACTTGCACCGAATGCGAGACTCTCACAACTGGAGATGGCTGGGAAGGAGGCTGCAGGGAGCCAGAGAATAGTCAATGTAAGGAAGGCCACTTGATTTGGATCCAGCGATGCCGGGACACTAGAAATCGAATGGAAATTATTGAGAATGCGCGATCTGGGGATCAGGTTCGAGTCTACGGCACCAATCTTTGTTTCTCGACTATCAATGGTCGGTGGTTGGAATTGAAACCTTGCGACAACAGCCTGTCAAACCAACTTTGGACTCCACTTGCTGACCGTAACAAATTCGAGTTGCGCCCGTACAGCCAACGGAACCGTCCAACAAATGAAGCGACTTGTCTCAGCCAGCTACACCACCCAAAAGGTAAGCACAATGCATGGAATCTGGGATGGATGCATAGCAAACATTTCGCAAAGACTCACAACTGATGTCTGATTTACAGGCACAGAAGTTATTGCATTGCGGTCCTGCCGAGAGAACATTAACCATGAGACAAATTACTGGACTGAATATTACGGATGAGTCCGTCCAGATTGTATTCAAATCCTAAACGCGCCTGAAGGTCGGTGGTAATAGAACACCGACCCACTCACTGGAGCGGATATGAAACCCGTCCAGGCAGCACTAACAAAATACATGTAGATATAATAGCATATAAATCACATTTTACATAATGAAGCCAATTGGCTTATGCGTGCAAATCATCGTTGAGCCAATCATCGGCCTCATCCTCAGAAGCACTCTCGTCATCATCCTCCGTTAAGAATCCTTCATGGTTCTTCAAAACGACTACATCATTCTTATTCTCGGACATGGTACTACTACCAGAAGCCCATCCTAGCCCTGCTTCACCTTTCTTTTGAAGTTGCAGAGCTTCTCCGCGAGTTCGAACTCGAACAGTGTCTCCTTCTCGCACCGATCCTTCCAGTACAAGTCGACTCAACGGATTCAAAAGTTCCTTGACCAAAGCACGCTTCAGAGGTCGAGCTCCATACCGAATGTCAAATCCACTTTCGGCAATGCAAGCTTTGGCAGAATCACTAATATCAATTTCCATCTGCTGCCCACCTTGCAAGCGATCGGCAATCTTGGCTATTCCCATGTCTGCAATCACATCCATGTGATCGCGTTGAAGTCGATTGAAGACCACCGTTTCATCAATGCGATTGATCAATTCGGGACTCAGTGTTTGTCGAACTACCCTCATGATGGCATCTTGGATTTCAGGTTCACTTCCTTGAAGATGCGAGGGTGCGTCGGCAATGATTTGAGCTCCTAAGTTGGAGGTCATCACAACAATGACATTGCTGAAATTCACTTCCCGACCGTGAGAGTCTGTCAATCGACCATCATCAAAGAGTTGGAGAAGAATGTTCCAAACTTCGGGATGCCCTTTTTCAAATTCGTCGAGCAAAATGACTTGATACGGACGGCGTCGCACTGCTTCTGTCAACACACCGCCTTGGTCATATCCAATATACCCCGGTGGAGCTCCAATCAATCGCGAGACCGTATGCTTTTCACTGTATTCCGACATGTCAATCCGAGTCATGGCATCGGGGTCATCAAAGATAAATTCTGCTAATGCCTTGCAAGTCTCAGTCTTGCCTGTACCACTCGGGCCTAAGAAGAAGAAATTGCCCAAGGTTCGATCTTCTTCTTGCAACCGAGTACGAGCCAGACGAACACAATTGCTCACTGCCTCCAAAGCGTGGTCTTGACCTACCACTCGTTTGCGCAATTGATCTTCCATATTCAATAGCTTGCGAGATTCACTGCCCGTAATACGCGAGACTGGAATCCCAGTGTGACGAGCGACAATGGTGGCAATGGCATCAGCTGTCACCGAATCTGACAATAGCCTCTTCTTTCGCTTGCTCGAAGCACCACCAGCATCTCCTTCTTGTTCCAGCATTTCAATTTCATCTTCTAAGTTGGGAATGGTGGAGTGCAACAATTCTCCAGCCTTGGTGTAGTCTCCCTTAGAACGAGCCAATTGCATATCCCTCTGAGCTTGGTCCAACTCTTCTTTGAGGTCCTTGACTCGATTCAACTCGTTGCGTTCGGCTTGCCAAATATTGGTAATCTTTTCGGCCTTTGCTTGAAGTGCCTTGACTTCCAATTCGACATCTTTCAATCGTCTTTTCGAATCAAGATCGTCTTCGCCTTGCAGAGCAGCTAGTTCCATTTGTTTGGTAATCAAATCACGTTCCATCTTCCACAAGATTTCCGGCTTGCTCTCTTGTTCCAGCCGCAACCGAGAACAAGCTTCATCGACCAAATCAATCGCCTTGTCGGGTTGATACCTGTCTGAAATGTACCGATCACTCAGATTGGCCGCGGCCACTAGAGCTTCGTCCTTGATGCGAAGACCGCTGTGATGTAATTCGTAATGTGGCTTGAGACCTCGCAAAATGCTCAAGGTATCTTCGACCGAAGGTTCTTCCACATAGACAGACTGAAAGCGTCTTGCCAGGGCAGCATCGCTTTCGATAATGCGAAATTCATCCAGGGTAGTGGCACCCAAAAGCTGTAAATCTCCTCTGGCCTGTATGATTGAATCATGGAAAAGAGAAAACTTGTGCGTCAGAAAGTATACATTCCACAGGCAATAATTCCATCACACAATAGTGCATATACGTACCAATGCTGGCTTGAGAATGTTTGACATGTCCAGACTCCCTTGTCCTTTTCCAGCTCCCACCATGGTGTGCAACTCGTCCACAAACAATATGATTTCTCCTTTCGCTTGACTCACTTCCTGAATGATTCCCTTAAGTCGTTCTTCAAATTGCCCCTGCATCATGGCACCACTAATAAGAGAAGCCACATCCATACTGAGCACTCGTTTTTGTTTCATGCTCTCTGGAACTAACCCCGTGACGATTCGTTGAGCCAATCCCTCGGCAATCGCTGTCTTGCCCACTCCGGGTTGACCAATCAAGACGGGATTGTTCTTGGTTCGTCTGGCAAGTATCTGCAAACAACGTCGAATCTCATCATCACGTCCGATGATGGGATCCAACTTCTTCTTTTCAGCGGATTCTTGAGCTAGTTTGGTAAGGTCCACAGTGAATTCATCGAGATAGGATTGGGTTCGCTGCTGCCCAAAGATGCTTCCCATATTGCCCGGACCTCCTGGTGGTGGTGGCGGCGACGAGAAGCTTCTCATCTGCCGAGAGCTCGAAGAAGAAGTTTGGGTCAATAGTTCACTTGCGGTGCTTCCAACAACCCGTGTGGTAAAGCTAGAATAAGAATTATTGGTGATGGCAGAGGACCGACGGCCAATAAGTTGAGCAGCCATTGGATGCTGCTTTTGAAGAGCACGAATGGGTGCAATCATTGTATTGTAATATGTTGTAATATATTATATTGTATCGTATTTGGTTTTTGTGTGATCTTGAAAGTGATGGAAGTATTGTCACCGTGTTTGATAGGAAAGAAACATTACAGGATTTGACTAATCCTTTATTCGTTGCTTTTATTATTGTGGGTAAGAAAGGTTGTCAAACATGCAATCCGAAATTCTCCAAGGATTTCTTTCGAACCAAAAACCTGTCTACTGCGCACATTCGCGCGTCATCAAGATTTGATTTTAGGACTTTTGTCGCACCTACAATATCTATCCTTGATCTTGTAGCAAGTCTTGTGTTCTCATCTGTTGTGATTGAGCCGGGCAGATAACTGCGATTTAATTATTTTCAGAATAATAAAGAAACATTCTAAAGATTGCTATGGCATGAAAGCATGGCAGAGAAGATTATCTGTGATGTTATTGTGATTTTCGATTTATTCTTCTATAGTACTACCCGCCCCAAACAAGAGGAGGAGGGTGCAGTGACGAGAATTGCAAGGTTTCGAGTAGTCCGCCGTTCATCGTCTAGCATGATGACAATGCTGTGGCTTAGATATCAGTATCGTTCTATACATGCGGTAGCTGGAAAATTGCTCCTGCTCCTGCAACTGCAACAAGCAACTCACCATCATCTTTTTACTATTTGGTGGATGGTGGTATCTTCATGAAGTTTGGTCTGTGTGATTGGACTACAACCAATCGTATCCATACCCTGGTACTGGTATGAGCCACCAAAAATAACAGTTTCTAAAAGCAAACGTTTTTGAACGTACTATTACTCTCAGGCACTGCT